TGTTCTTGTGAATTCCCTCTCATTTATGGTCCATGGACTATTGCTGTGTATCATATAGAAATGAAATCATTTCCCTTTTGGGAGAATCTTATCAAAGACTTGATTCACTGAAAATTTATGAAGCACGGAGTCATTTTCAAATTGACAGAATATTTTTGTATGTCAGTTTCCTGACCCATATTTTCTTTGAAATCTGTCAAGAACAAGAACCCAGATCATTCAGGAAATAGTACAAGGAACACCTGTCTGTCTGCCATTGGAACCCAATGGCTGTAGATGTCTTCTTTCTCCATGCACATGTATAAAGTGACACAAATATCGCTAAAGGTTGCTGTGCTATGTGAATTATCACAGAGTGAATATGATATCATGTGCTCTTCATGGTTTGTTTCCAAAGAGCTTGACATGCAGCACTGAAAATGCACCTGTTGATGTTAAAACCATTAGAATCCTACACAATAACACACAGAAAGTGAAATGGATTGGAAATATATGATCATACTCACAGTCTAAGTGTGTTTCCAAATTGAGTTCAGCCATAGAAGGATTCTGTTACTTGCAGCATTCTTCTATCATCTTAGCATTTGCATTTCATAATTATTGGTTTCCAATCAATATCATTTATACTGATTCAAATTACAATATTTTTGTAATAATTAAACCCAAGCAATTACATAAAATAAGTAATTTAAAAGGATATGATGCATAAGATGCCACCTCTGGATATCATTACATAATTTCTAATCAATAAATACATACATCCAGGGAAATTATTTTTAATAAATAAAGAAGCCAAAACTAGGAATTCACAAGAATGTTATCTCCGTGGACCAGAGAAGTGTTGCCTTTCTGCCAGATGACGGACTTTAACATTAATCATATTCATGTTGAGTCCCTGTCCTGTAGCTAGCACTCAGGTCACCTCTCAGAGGAAGCTATCCATCCCAAGTGCAAGCAGCTACGCCAAAGCAGAGGACACCCCGTCCTCAGGTTCCGTATCTTTCTCCTGCCTGTTAACGCAGTAAGCCCTGCCCTGGTGCCATTCACCCTCAACTTCACCATCACCAACCTGCAGTATAAGGAGGACCTGGGCCAGCCTGGATCTGCAAAGTTCAACACCACAGAGAGAATCCTCCAGAGACTGGTGAGACTCCATCAACTGCACAGCCCCGCCCCTAGGGCAAGCCACGCCCACCTGTCCTCTGCCACATTCACATACTATTCCACTCACCTCCCTCAAGCTTCACTGATTAAAGCCCACCCATTGTAAATCCTGCCCACATAGCAAAGCCATGCCCACTACAAAAACTCCTACAAATGGATGAGAGCCACGCCCACTCTAGCTATACACACCCCAAAACATTCCAGCACAAGCAACCAAGCTCCACACACACAAGACCCGCCCACAGATGGAAGCCACGCCCACTCATGAATGCCCCACCCATACTTCAGAGCCCTTCCCTGACCCAGCTCCCTTTCCTCCACAGCTCAGATCCCTGTTCAAGAAAACCAGTATTGGCCCCCTCTACTCTGACTGCAGACTGGACCTGCTCAGGTGAGAGCTCACCACAGCAGGACAGGGCTTCCCCAAGTGAGCCCAAGCACCACACAGTTCTTGGCTCTTTTCATTCCTTCCTTCTAAAATATCTTCTTTCAGGGGTGCGATGCAGAAGGCACTAGGTCCAGCATCACAGTGTCCCTTCATCCTTCTACCTCTCTTCTCACACACCCGCAACAGGAGTGAACCAATGTACTTTTTCAAAGTGTACTGAGCCCTCTGATTCCTTCCTCACTTTCATTAAGACAGCAATTCCTTCAGGCCTAAATTCTGTGCCCAGAGTTTCTCTTCAGAACATCATAACCTTATCTTTATCATTAGCATCAAATTTCCTTGTGTCTGGTCTCCACTTTTGAACAAGCCCATCTACGGTTTCTTCACCACAAACACCCAAGTTTGAGCCTTGCATGGAGTGCAAGTTCTGAACCCATGACTTACTGAAAGTCCCAGGCAGCTGCACCCAAATCCAAGTCTGGTGTCTGAACACCCACCTGACTTTCCACACTCTCTACCTCTTTCCATTGCCCCGTTCCTATCAAACTTACACAAATCTGGAACTCTTCCTTGGGCAAACTTAATTGTAATCACATCTTCCCAGATCCAAAAATGAAGGAGCCGCCACAGGAGTGGATGCCATCTGCTCCAACCCCACAGGCCTAGGACTGGACAGAGAGCGGCTGTACAGGGAGCTCAGCCAGCTGACC